GCAAACTATTCCCACTAGACACTACCTATAAACACACAACAAGCACTACTTAAATATTTATTACACATCTTAAAAAATTTAGTTTTATTTAATTACTTGATTTTTTTTTTCAATTTCTGTCCTGACTAGCGAGAAAGACTTAAGCTGAGATACCTCGGTGGGACACGGAAGACTGGAATGCAAATATAATACCTAGTTACCGTCCGTAGTGCCACTGAGACGGTGTGTACTGTACTCTGGACATTCTTAGATCCACTGAGGGGAGAAATTTATCTTTAGGTCATTTTAGAATACGGTCCATGGCTAGTTGTATTAAGTAAGGGTTTGTAAACGTCGTAGATTCAACCATTAATATTCGAGGTTGATTACATGAACATATTCTCTCTCTCTCTCTCTCTCTCTCCAGCCACATTAATGACTCTCTGATCATCTAGATCTTCTGTCTTAGCATCATTCAATCTTCATCATACGTAACAGCTTTGGAAAACCACCATGGCAATGTACCCGAGACTTACATCACACCAGAATTTGGGTATGCTTTAAAAAAATAGTCAACATCACACCAAATTCGAAAATACGAAAAAAAAATTGTACATCTCGCTAAATTCGAATATGCATAAAAAAATCCAGTCATGTCGATTCAGATATTCATTATTAAAACACAAACCGGCATCGTGCTGAGCTCAAATATGCATTCAAAAAAATTGTGCATCGTGTCGCAATCAGAAATATTTTGAAAGAAAATATTTCACGCCGATCTCCAAATTGAATTTTATAATAATAATAATAATAATAATAATAATAATAATAATAATAATAAATAATTTAATAATAAATGTAGTGGGATGTGAAGCGTAGGTAAGGTGTAAAACAAGGAATTTACTTTACATAACAATTGGACAAGAGTTTGACTACAGGCAACCTAATACTAATGTGTACACTCGACTCGCTACAGAAAGTATCTGCAAGGTGGGGTCCGATGGTTGTCAAAATGAACTCTGCGACTCCTATTGTCTCGGTAGGGTTGTTAAAATCCTTGGTCAATTGTGTCCTATTGTCGAGCAATAAATTTGGCAGATAATTTTTGTAGCTAGTGTACTGTACATACCAGCAGTCATCGACGGGTGAGGTGCCTGTTGTTAGTAAGGCCTCACAGCAATCAAAGTCGCATTTCTAACGGGCCAATTACAACCATTTCGTGTTCCGGGTCGGGTATTACCTCCTCTATGTTCTCTTAACACGTATACTGTCGCGTTGTGCCCAGAGTAACCAAATCCAGCCGTGGGTGACACGTTAATTAGTGTTGAAAAATCCCGGATGTTTTATTGTTTCGAGTCTGAGCTTAGGTCGATGTCCTTGTCTGAAGGTTTGTGCTGCCATGACCTATGGTGACCACACTTGATGAAATTTGTCACGTAACCCCGCCTTTTGTGTGAATTTTACCTTTTAGATCAAATGTGAAAGTAGCATTAGGTTTCTTGTCATACATTCTAGTTGCTCTAGCTGGTTATCTGCACGGATGCTGTGTTGTGCACGTTACACGCCTGCTAGTAATGTGTACGTCTGTCTAGATTTTGTACATTTGCACATGCGGTACACGTTTGCTTAGCTGGACACGTGCACCAGTTTTGTGTTGCACGAAGCACCATAACTCACCGAGGCGGGGAGAGCTACACACTATCCTCCACCGTGACATAGTGACCATTAACAAAAATGGACTGGCAATGCTGAACCAGTTTAGAAAATGGCCGGATATATTTTTCTCCAGTGTAACGAAAAAAAAAAATTGGAAACTGGCTGTTCTGGCTGGAAGGCTTCAACAATAACAGTCAAAACGTGTTAACTCGATGAATCCTTATCTTATTATTCCCTAGTTGTAGTATACAATATACACCAGGCGGGTATAATTGTAGGATAAAACAGAAATTTACCATACTTAACCTAACCTAACTTAGCAGGAGCATTAAGGATTAAAAAAAAAAGACGATCTGATGGTATTTTGTAAACTTTCGTATCTTGTTGGCACGAAAATTTGCCTTTAGGGAGAATGTGTAATGAAATTTCGAACATAATATTCATCCTCTACTGCAGATGGAGGTAGTCGAGATGCCACTAAAACATCATCACACCAACAGTAGACCATCAATAGATTTGTCACGTACGCAAGACCATCGTCTCATTTTCACTAATTACGGCCAGAAAGAATAAGAGGCTCCCCTGTGGTCCCAGAACCAAGGAGTTCCATTAATTAACAGGGTTGGGGCGAGAGACGGCCCTCCCCACCGACCTAGCTCCGTCTGGGACTCTCTGCAATGTGTGCTAAGCAGGTAGCCTCCCGTATGTAATTTGGGAGACCCTGTGTATTTTATGGAGTCTCAGCCTCCGTCCCTCATTATTCTGCCTAAAGGGGGGGGGGGACGGGGACTCCCTGCCTCCTCTCAAACCACTCGTCGTAAAGTGGGGTATTATTGTCTCTTTTATTTGTAGAGTAATTATATTTAGTAGGTAATTTTAGTTTGTATTGGCTGTTTTAATTTTATTTCTATTTACTAATAACGTCCGGTAAAATAACCCCCGTGATGCTTCAAAATTTTAAGTGGTTCAGATACCAGCTCCTCGTGCCAGCTGTCACCTACATCGGCTGCTCTTCACAATCCGAATCTTCTGAAATAAGACCCAATGTTATTTCTTACACGGTGGTGTATAGGAACGCTTCCACCTTCCTTCAAATATGGCGGTAGAGTTGCTGCAGGTAGGAATTCGCGTCACACAGAAGAACCTTAGGGACACGCGTAATAAGTAAAGGTATTCTCCTAATACAGCATCCGAGCCTCGTTAACGACATCCTCCTCCTCCCTAAAGACAGCATATTTAAGCCTCTGATCTCGCCAAGTTTCAAGTTAAACCCCGTGAGAACTAATATGCCGTAAGACCGCGGTATCTCATTCGAATAATTAGCCCCACACCATCCCAAGTAGACTGATTAATAATTCATGAATGGGAGCTAATATTACAGGCAGGCAGAGCTCTTTCGGCAGTGCTGGACAAAGCTTTCCTACAATTCTGCATACCATATAGTATCTCCTGCCAAGATTTTAAACTCTTCAACCCTATACACTGGGAGCTCTCGAACCCCCTTTAGAATTGCATGTCCACCCTTGTCCCTTGCCACGTGACTCGCCTGTGTCTTATTAGTGGAAACGCGTTAACTCGTAAAGGGGAGGATAGATTTTCTTAGAATTTGGCAGGGGCTTTGGACTGGTTTAATAATATGCATGATATTCTTTTTCTTGTAACCAGGAGACTTGGAGTGTGTAGGCAGTACTTCGATCAGTTGATGTAGTCTGGGTCTGAATATGCCAAACGTTTATACATGTGTGTGTGTGGCAAGGCTAGTAGGTGGATGTGTAATAAGCTGAGTCACCAACCAGCTACAGGATAATTAAGGCTAGCCCTCATTCTTGTTTCCAAAATAGTCGTTCCTTATATCCTAGAATCTAGATGTCCCTTATGAGAGGACCGTGCCTTATACTGTACTGTTATTCTCACCGTGCCTGATACTTTGTCTTCTTTTTCACTTTCTCGTATACTCTGCCTTATATTCGCATTGTGCCTTACACCAAATCAGGCAATAAATATCAGCTCAGCTTATATAAACACGTAAAGCATGCTCGAGAGGAAATGACAATCCTCGGACAGTAAGCCCGAGCAACATCCCGCCCCGCTAGCCCCTCCTAGAAAAACACCGTAAAGCTTTTGTGGAAGAAATAATGGTATAAATATGACGTTAATCTTGTGAGTGGGCTACAAGGTCGAGGGTTGGTCAGGAGGGCGCCACTGTGTAGATTTATTGGAAATGAAAGTCATGTGATTTATATACTGTGTGTGTGGGTGAGGGAAGGGAAGGATCTGCTACCATTTGGAGAATTGTATCGCTTCTGTTAATGATTTGCCGGTAAACTAAGAGTAGATTAGCGTCTTTGGAAAGTCATGTATGTAAGGGTCATTTTCGATTCTCGCTCACCTACGAGGAACTGGTAGCTGAACCACAATATCTGTATCTAATTCTTGTTTCAGTTTTTGTAACTTTTGAAGGTACTCAACAATTAAAGGCATAACTAATGTTTTCTTTCACAGTGAAGTTATTAGGCTTCGTAAACTCAGTCATGTTAATTATGTTAAACTAAAACGGAGAGTTTATAAATATATTAAAGATTAGAAATTAGCACACTAAATCTTACTAAATACGTTTTGTTGCTTAACTCAAATCCACTAAAATAACAGTTGTGCTCTTTTGTCGTGTATGTGAGGGAATAGCGGGCTTAAGACGTTAGAGTATACAGTATTTATTTTTCCCCATATGCTCTTTATTCTGTCTAAGGCTGTGGCTCCCGAAATTACATCAAACACGATTAAAATAAAGTTTAGTTAAATGACTGAAAACGTAGCCCCTATTTTTACTACGGTGATATAGAAAAAGTTCGACTAAAGAATGATGTGTACAAAATAAGGAAATGGTAGAATCATTATAATAAAATAAAATATAATAAAATAAACTATACTGTTGATAAGAAAGAAAATTGTGAATCATCTTTTTTCTCGTGTCAGTATAACTACGAGTTTATAATGGCGAGGAACGCACGTGGAGGAGGGTGGTGGTGGGTCAGGTGGCGTCGCTCCCGTGAGAGGTCGCCTCCACCTTATGTGATCAATGTAAGATTTTATTGTGCCGCCATTGTATTTTATTATATGGCTTGCTCGGAACAAAAAATAATTGACATTCCAGCCCCTGTCCCTGGTGCTAGACACTGGTCGATACCCACAGGTTATTCGGGTGATGGATGGGCGCCCTCTATTGGGGTCCTGTTATAATAGAGCAGCTAGAGCTCCTAGTTTACAATCTTTATTTGGCAGTTACACATTTCACTTATATTTATTTACTGTTAAGTTTTATCAAGAATCCTTTATTCCTCTGTAGTAATGGTATAAGAAGCAACAACTATAAGTTCATTATTTTTGCAGGGAGCAGCGTGGTGGAAGGAGAGTTTAGAATTACTAATCAGAACTTCTGGCCGGGGTTGGAGGATCCCACGTCCGAAGAGTATAGATCGATGGCTGATTCAATAGAAAACGAGGTGAGTCTAATCCTAAGTTATAATCAGGAGGGTGCTGCTGGAGCGGCCTAAGTACAGTACTGTAGTGAAGAAGAATGTGAATGTGTCCTGAGATAACACCTAGTATCTTGTACATATACTAGGAAGAGTTTGTTCGTTGTTTTGGTTCTAATATTTTAAACAGAACACTCGGAAAAGCATTACGTAGTAGATATTTGGTAAACTCATACTCTAGCTCCTAATTGTATTAATTTTTAGTAAAGGTATTTATTTAACACAACTAAGTTAAAAGTGTATATGTAAGTGTGACCGTGGTGTGTGGGTTATAATGTAGTGTGATGGAGTGTGACCGTGGTGTGTGGGTTATAATGTAGTGTGATGGAGTGTGACCGTGGTGTGTGGGTGTAGTGTAAGTGTGACCGTGGTGTGTGGGATGGAGTGTGACCGTGGTGTGTGGGTTATAATGTAGTGTGATGGAGTGTGACCGTGGTGTGTGGGTTATAATGTAGTGTGATGGAGTGTGACCGTGGTGTGTGGGTTATGATGTAGTGTGACCGTGGTGTGTGGGTTATAATGTAGTGTGATGGAGTGTGACCGTGGTGTGTGGGTTATAATGTAGTGTGATGGAGTGTGCGTGAGGACAGTCGTCATTTGAGTTATACATGGAAGGATGCCAGAATGATTAAGTGTTAGGCCTACGGTTATACAAAGAGCGAGCGGCCTAGCATATGTTATGTGACTACATGACTGATGTGTTCAGTCTGTTAGTATTTTGTTAACTACAATGAGTGACATGAAATATACTGTATATGCGGGTGCAAGAAAATGGATTATTGGTATTTAGATTTCAGAATTCTGAGTAAATACAAGTTACTTAATTTATCACACCATGTTAGCAAAATAATTAGTTATCAGTATATGCAATAATATATTTTTAATATTTTAGATAAATTTGCCATAGTTTTTATTTGCGTCCACACCTTAATTTAGTTTCATGGTGTGGTTTATCCTTAGTACTGGACTGTACATTGTTTACAGTGGTGGAGAGAAGGGACTCTGTAATTGATGATTGAATGTGTTTTTACTGTTTTACGTAATTTTTTTTTTATTCTTCAAATTGATAACATGATTTTTTCTCTTTCAGCTGGACATACTATTTCGTGGATCTGTGTGGTCACGTGAATACAACCACAGTCAAGTCATAACTTTCTCTGAGGGTTCTCTTCTAGTACGAGCTCAGCTGGTGCTCAATACAGCTGATGAGGCTGCAGCTCAAAAACTAGGAACAGCGTTTCTCCGAGGCCTCCACAACCGTCATGGGCACGAATGGCTCGGGCAGTATTCTGTCGATATCACGTCCATTAGGTTCACCGAGGTGGTGGTGGTGGACACCTTACCGCTGTCCACGACCACCTCGCCTGCAACCACTACAGTTGCAACTGAGGAATCCTCAACTGTAGTAATGGAGGCTTCACATCGCCTCCCTAGCCTTAATGTAGGGTGGGGAGAATGGGGCCCCTGGTCAACCTGCTCTCCGTGTTCTCCTCAATATGACCAGATCAGAACTCGGCAGTGTCGCCTAGACGCAGGCCGAGGCATCTTAGTCAACAGTATTGAGCCCTGTTTACCATCAGGCCTTGGGGGTCAACTCCAGGGTACAGGCGGTGATTTGGAGACACGCCCATGCCAGTGTGATCACACTCTTCTTGATTCCACTACCACCACTACTACTACTACCATGTCGACAACAACTACCACTAAAAGTACAACCACCCCTCCACCATGGAAAGATGAGCAACCCCAGAAAGAGGAACGAGTGGATGAAATGAGTACAGGTAAATGATTTGCTGATGTTCTTGTTTTTTTTTGTTTGTTTGTTTTTTATTTGCTAATCCTGTTTTCTGTTTGTGGTAATATTAAAACCATTAATTTAGCCTTTGATGTAAAAATTAAATTTCACCATTATAATATAGACCTTGTTTTATTATTATTATTATTATTATTATTATTATTATTATTATTATTATTATTATTATTATTATTATTATTATTATTATTATTACATGCGTCATAAAAAAATTCACCCGGAAAAGTTGATTTTTTTTATGAGTGTACAGTATACAATGTATAATAATTACAGACTATATACAGTACTGGTAACCTTAATTATTTTCCTTGAGTTCCTCCCTCATCATGCCCACTTATGAAGACTAGGGATGCCTTGCATTACACAAACACCCTCACTTTAACCTTCGTGTAAATCCCCCTATAACACACTATCTTCCTCTAGTGAGCTTTTGTAAGTGTTATTGCATTGCCTAAAATGAAGTTGAATTAAGTAAAACCTTATTTTTTTAAGTGAACAGTCTGAATTTTTATTAGATGTGTTTAATTTTTGTCAACACATTATATCCCTGCCAAATTTGATCTCTTATAACCATAATAAAAAATTTAAGAAGTCCTCCCGTGTAAAAGTTCCATTTTCTTTTATCGCAACAGAGAAAATGGACTTAAATACAGTAATCAGTTTAAAGAATGAGTTTAAATGCGTGACTCTAATGACTTTGAATGAGTTGCAAAGTGTTACCGTAGTATTAAAAACCAACCGAGTATCTAAAATGGCTAATAACAATAATATAGTTGTCTTATAATTGTCTAAGCTTTTTATTGCAATCATAAAATTCTCGAAATTCGGCTGGTGACATTAATAATGATGATAATAATAATAATAATAATAATTTATTTTTATTATTATTGTTATCTGTACTGTAGTTAATTCAGAACAGATTTATATTAGAATTTTAAGAAATTAACCATAGCTATATAAATTTTAATGTCAAATAAAATCACATATTGGAACTTTTGTAATTTTTTGCAAAATAAATTTGTCATTTCGTATTATTAGCAATTTTTGTTTTTTAAGAATAAATGGATTTCAGGATTACTAGGGACCCAAGTATATTAGTTTAGTTTGATACTTATATAACTACACAAAACAAACAAGCATTCAATAAAATTTAGTCAATCTTTATATCTATATGGCCAAATTATCTGTGAGAAATAGGGGTTATTTGAAACTTGAGGGGTAATTAACCTGGGTTCAAATGACTGGGGGAGTAACTTGAATTGGGAAGTAAATCTGAAACTTTCACACTGGTGCAACCTTCTCCTTAACCCTGCCCTTGACTGATCTTCTGAAGCAATGTGATTTGCTATTGAAGAAGCCCTACTGATCCCCATGACACTTCCAGCCTCCAATTGTCTGGGTTGTTCATGCTCAGCTTGCACACCAATAGGTGTTAGATGGAAAGAAAGCTTTCATTAAAGAAGATTGATCATTTTGGAGCTGATAAGTGTTGCCTGCAGTATTTATTTTACCATTTAAATTATGCTGCTAATGTTCTGAGCAGGTCACCAGCATTACAGACAACTAGCATGGGCCATCCCTAGTTTATCAGTATTAATAATATATGTAAAACGGATTATTATATTGTTTTTGATGCTCAAGGTTAACCCTGTGATAACTTTAATGATTAATAATTTGGTGATAACAATAATAAGTGATACTGCTGATCATACAGTACTCAAAAGTACAGTAACTCGATTATACTTGATCATACTTTTTTAATAAACTGATATGTCAGGTCTTGTCTTGCTTTCTTGCACCCCCTGGAAAAAACCTGTGGAAGCCCATGCTTAAAGGTACAGTTGCCTGCGCTTCTACACGGTTTGTGAGATGTTGCAACTCTGGAATACTTATTTAGCATCTTAAGACTGACTACTATTGCGAGGTTCATTAGGGCCATTCCATGAGTTTTAATATGATATAAACAAACACAGAGGTGCCACATTTCATAAAACACACCAGCCACTGCACCAGGTATAAGTGCAGGCTTCTACATGCTATATTAAATTTGACTATGCTCGTCCATTCCTTATTGAAAATTGATCATTTATGAATTTGCTCTGTGTATACCATTCAAAACTGTTATGTTTACAGAGCGATTGTGTGACTCTTGTCTGCCAGGGGAAGTCTGTGTCGGTCTGCAGGGTGAGGCATACCCTACCTGTCGAACAGCACGTGATTCTGGGGACAGAACAGGTAGTTCATTCCATTGATTTTCACCCAAATTAATTTTCTTCTATTTCCTTTAATTTAACTTACAATGATAGATGCCTTTCATTGCTTACAATGATTAATGTGACATAATTATCTTAAATGAGGAAAAGAATATAAATAGGTGTTACACATGCTTGTCAACTTTCAAGCATTTTTTACTATTCTGTTTTTCTTCCCCAACTTTTCTTTTTATGTGACTGAAACAGTCTCTAATTCCATTTAAAAACTAAATTCAAGTGTCTCAATTGCATCTGAACTACTAAAATTCTTAGCCAGGAAAGACCCCAAACTTCTCTCAGAATCTGCTCTGAAGGGAGAATGTAAATAAAAAGTTATGGACTCTTAAAATGTCTTAAAATTTACCAGTGGTCTAGGTATATAATACAAAAACCCTTTTTTCTTCTGAAAATCATTCAAGATGACTCCTGAACTTCACAACTCTTGCAACATGATGCAAACACCACACAACCTTATATCAAATAACTAACACCAAGATCTATGTAGGTCAACCTTAGCCATCAACTGTCATCAAAATGAAAAGCTAAAGCAATTAGCTCCATCTTCCATTTAGTTTGTAGGATATGCAATTGCCTGTGACATTACCGGTAACTAAACAGAATGAAGTTATGGTTAGAACTGAGGAGATTCACAATTGACACCTGGAATTCTAATTTGGCTTGCCCAGCTGATGGGTGTGATGCTTGTATGTTAGTGCGATGTCATAACCCATTGCCTTCTGTTTGACATTGTGACTCTCGCTTCAAAAGATTCTTCTTGAAACTTGTTTATAATGGGAAGGCTTATGTAGTTAATGAATTAATCCTAGCCATCAACTTTGAAAGGTCCCCTGAGCTTTCTCTTGGTTATTTGCTATGAGTAGCACTTCTCACCAAAGTGTCCCATCAATTATTTTTATTTAAACTACTGGTTGACTTGGGTCTAGTTAGGATTTTAGATTCACTGAGGGGAATGGATTAACTCTGATCCATTAGTACATACACCCCATATCCTCATCAGTCACAAAGGGTAGATCATACTCATGCCTCATCTGGTCTTACAAGGGGGGTGGGGGGGGGTGGAGGTAGTGTCAGCAAGTCGTTAGCATTTTTCCCTTGGTTATAAAGTGATCATACTTAAAATCCTCATTTATGACCCATGGGTCCTCAGCAAGTGATCTATGAGATTCTGAATCAGCTAGAAATAAGGGAGGCAGTCATTTTCCAATCTTATCCCATATCACAGCCCTCCAGCTCTCCTAATTACTTTGAACCTGTTGTGTGAGAAATGCTACTCATAACAAAAACAAAACCTGTCCTAATATTTTTAGATAATGTAAACTTCTGTTAACCGAAAGGCCTTTTCTTAAAGGTACAGTAGCTACAACAACTATTTATGCCTAGTTTGTGGGAAACAATATGAGACCATGGACGATAAATTTTGGTATATGAGGGCTGTCACTAGTCACACGTAAAATTTCGGAGCATATCGACCCCCACCTGCACAGATAGTTGTTTTAGCTACTGTACATGGAGGGTGTTTAGGAGTAAGGGGGTAAGGATCTCACTGAAGAGCTTGAGACACTGGAGCACCTTAGATGTTGTCTTTATTCAAGACATATTCAGAGGCCTCTGAAGACACTATATTGAATAAAGACAAAAGCTTAGATGCTCCTGTGTGTGTCTTTTCCTGTGTGATTTTTATCAAGATATTTTTTCTTTTTCTTTTTACAGAATTTAATGAATTAGACCCTGATGATTTTGATTCACAAACATGCATATAGAATTCCTTGTAAGAGGCAGCATAATTTTTTCAGGTTGTGGTGGTCTTTGTGCTATTGACTCTGAGGTGTGCCAGGCTCTAGGGTCCCGAGCATTTCAGTGTCATAGTGCCTCTCTCTGTCTACATGATGAGTGGCGCTGTGCTGACGGCTTGTGTATCCCACACATCAAACGCTGTGATGGTCACATGAATTGTTATGACCAAAGTGATGAACTACACTGTCGTAAGTACTCTACTGTGCTTTTATTTGACTAATGGGAATTATTGAATACCTTCTGTGTTTTAAATCTAATGATAAATTTTATATAGGACAATATATTATTATTGTACATAGTACTTCATTTTATTTATATTCATAGACTGTACCGTATGTTTTTACTTACAGTATTATCTACTTACTGTTTTATTCTCCTACTATTGAGGAAAGTCAAACTTTATTAAGGACTTCATGTTTTAGCTGGAGTATTAAAACTGTTCGACACAAGTTTTTCACATATGTATTGTTCTGTATACCGGGAATGTTCCCTGCTTCAAAGGTAACTCCTTACATGTGGCAATGATAGTCAAGGTACCCCACTTGTTGGATGTTAGGGGGAGGGGGACAACAGAGTCCAACATCATAATCATAACGCATATATATAATATCTAAAGGACAACTAAATGTAAAATTATTGACATACCCCTATTGGGGTACCTTGACAGCTGCATATTCTATCTTTTCACTGAAAATTTAATTTTATTAAAAAAAGTGCACCTAATGATTGGTGTTCTATTCCTTTTATCAGGGTGTGGACCAGACAAGTTCCAGTGTGGCAATAATACTTCCTGCCTACCAGTAACCTCCAAATGTGATGGTAAAATGGACTGTTGGGATGGTTCTGATGAAGCCAATTGCACAACTTGTAAGTTTTTTTATATAAGGTTTTGTTTTACACACAGCTGAGTGTGAAGTGCACTGAGTTTGATAAAGAAGCCCTGGTCTACACAGTTGAATTTATATGATCTGTATACTGCATTGAATTCTAAGTAATATGTATACAAAATAAATAATATATTTCTTCACAGTACCAGTTGTGTAGATCAAAGCTTTTAGTTATGTTGATTATCACAGAGTCTCACTGTATTTCTGCTGTATTTGTCACCTCACTCTTATTTAATCAAGTAATATCACTGTTCTTTTTGCACTGTAGCATTCACAGATGAGATATTGTAATGAAATTTTCTGCCACTGTCGATTCCACTCTATTATTCACAAATGAGTAATTGACTTCACAATGTAATATCTTGAGTACAAAGCTTATGACAAAATCCATAATAATTCTTGTCAATTATTATCTATGAGTAGATATCTCAGAAGACCAACACAATCAGCGCTACCCAACTCAGACTCCGAGAACCAAGAGATTCGCCAATCCTTCTGCTTAAATTCTCCAGTCCACTTTCATAACTCCCTTACCTTGTCATTATAGTAATGGCAGCAACCATCCACACCCTGACCTCATCAGATATCAGTAATTTAGTAGTACAGTACTGTTAACCTGGATAAGTAAATATGAAAATTAAATTGCCAGTTACTAACTACAATGCATGGCTTTATAAAGCATGTGATAATATTTTAATGCATGCAATGAATTTTATTTTATACTTGATTTTTCTAATGAAATTTTTCTTGCATGCTTTTGGGTGTGGTCTTGATCTTTCATCCTAACACCAGCTAAGGGAGGTAAGGTCATATCTGATGTACTGTAGTAATTCTTGTGTTATTTTTATTCTTTTTTTTAAAGTTAATTTTTACACCAACATTTTGATAAGTGGTTTTCATGTATTATACTGCATGAAAAATAATGTCATTGTTTTTCGTTACTAATATCTTCTTGCTTTGAATCACTAGACAAAGTATTGCTTTGAATCACTAGACAGGAAGTAGATAGCCAGTTTAAAAAAAAAAGTCCAATGTATTAACCCTTTCACAGCGGGAGATTACCCTAAGCTGAATAAAATCATCTAGTGGTAGCCAGAATAAAATGGCAAGTGCGTGATACGCGGTGAAAGGATTAAAAACAAAATCTCTAATAGTGCAACTGGCTTCTGCTTGCCTTTTACTTTTTTTAAACTTCCATCACCTTCCGTTTCCCTTTCCTCAACCATCCCTTCAGCAGCGAATCTCAGTTCTCAGTGTCTGACAGCGACTGTGTGTGTTTCAGTGTGCCCCAACCCTGACACTCAGTTTACTTGCCGCAGCAGTCAGTGTATCCCCCAGCACCAATTCTGCGACGGGTTGGAGGACTGCAGGGATGGGTCAGATGAACCCTTCGGTTGCTTTGGACGGTGCCAACCCAACGAGCATCAATGCAGGTGAGTACAGTTCTCATTCAATGGGAACTGGGTTAGTACTCAAATTTGGAAGTCAAATTTTACCCCCTCTGATAATATTTGTTAAGCCAAAAGTTATATTCAAACATATTAAAGTAAAGATTGGTATATGATCAGTTGATGAATTTTGAAATCTTTGTGACAAGTTATACAATCGACCTGGGAAGCGATGCCACTGTTTTCAGTACGACTTGTTCAAATAGCGGTATCTGGCAACTTGGCGTGAGCCAAGCAGGTGACTGACCACTGACGAGTGGGCTGGATGCCATTGGTATATTAATGAACTCCTGAGCCAAATTTCTCACTATCTAACCTTTATCTGGCATTCCCTCATATATTTGCTTGAAAAAAGGTTCAGGGCAGGTAGTACAGTATAAGTAAATGAGCTACTGTATATCCTAATCCCATGCTTGAAAGACAAAGAAGATGCATTTAGATAAAAAAAGGACAGCCATCCTGAGGTGATACAACAACACAAGTTGATAACACTTCCAGGTGTAGAATATTCTGCATATGGCTTATTTCCTTGTTTAAAAGTTGTTTTACTTTAAGAATAATATGAGAGGCATTTGTTGTGCTAAAATAATTATTAATTCAATACCTGGTAAGTGTTCATAGAAGTTAGCAATTTAGCCAAATTTTACTTCTCCTAAATATAGAATGACTGTTAAATGGAACTATTTAATGTTTTATATTCTATTCTTTGATGCTAAAAATACAATACCTTCAGGCAAGGGTGGAGTGAATACAGTGTAGGAATTCGTGGTATAATGTTGTCTAGCACTCAGGATGGATGGAAACTCTAATGTGGTTTTCTTGTATAATATAAGTTATATGATAGACAGTCTGGTGCTGGAGGTGCCGTGTGGTGAGGAGCTGCTCAGTAGAGACGTTCGGTGAGTAGCGTGTTGAAGGAGGTAGATGTGCAGGAGCTTCGTTAGAGAAGATGTTGCCTGTTGCTGGCCTCCTGGTTGAATGAAAGCTGGACAGCGTGGAGCTTGCTGGAGGAGGTGTTGCGTGTTCAGGAAGATGGGTAGAATGAGAGCTGGTTGGTGAGGAAGCTCAGAGAAGGACAGCTGGTGGGTCGCCATGCTCGCTGGCGGGAGCGAGGACCGCCAGGCAGGCGAGGAGAAGCGAGGGCCGCCAGGCAGCGGCGGAGGAGGAGGTGTTGCTTGTTCAGGAAGAGAGACCAGAATAAATCTCAATGGAGAGACAGAGCTTATATACCCAGCAGCCGTGAGTCCTCTATGAGTCATGTTGGGAAAACCCGAGAAAGTCGCCGGTCTCTCGTTCCGTTGCTAGGTTATGGTAACATCTGGTGTCGCATTGGAATGCGGATACGCAGTTGTAGGGGAGAAGTCCACTACAACAGCACAATAGTTTAGTATTCCAATGTGAATACAAATACAATACTGTATGAAAGTACTGTTGGTTAAAAAACTAACTTTTTACTGCTATAAGTAGTGGTACAGGTATCCCCCTATTAAGGATGGGATTACATTCCTGAAAAACCCACTGCAGATCGAAATACTGAATCATAAATTTGAATAATTATAACATGGGTTCAATAGGATACGTTCCCAGCTGGTCTAACATCCACATGTATCACCGAAAATAAAATTCCTACTCGAATGCTATACAGTACAGTACCAACAACACTCGCCACATGTCCCCTTTGAGGCCAAGAGGATGTTTGAAAGTAGAGTGGAGACATCACTCTGACTCCCACACAGCTTTAGAATGTCAAGCTTCACCTCCAGAGACACATTTTTACTGGGTGCCTTGGCCTTCCCAGAAAGCCTACATACTTCAGTCACAAAAACAGAGTGAACGATGATGATGTAAAAACACTACTCGTATCATTTAACAACAACAGAGGCAAAGCACTTTACAGTCATTAAATAAAAACATCAGAAAAATTACTTCACAGCTACCATAACAGAGTACAGTACAATATGAACGTTAGTGATGTCTTTTCACTGTAAGGTAAAAAAATCTGATAAGTAACAACACCGATACTGACCGATAATCATTGAGCTACTCAATCACGGCCATGTGGGATCACCATGGAACAAGGCTCAGGACTATAGTGCACCGGGTGGCCATGTGACAGGGTACGGGTAGACCGCAGCTGACAAGTGCACTAAGAGATGTATTCCACATTCCACACATCAGCTGTTTTGGCCAGATGATGACCTTCATTCATGCAATTTTTTTTATCACTAATAGGGGGATGGTTCAAACATATCGTTTATAGGGAACTCATAAATCAGGGGATATATACCTGTAGATGATTTTATATCAAACCTATCCTGTGTAGATATATTTATTTTTGCTTTCCTAGTATTTTCTTCTTTTTTTTTTTACTTTTAGTTTTATCCTCTTCACCACTGATCGGCTCGTTAGCTGCTTGGGCGGTCGGTCACATCTCTGTTACACATTTTTGGCAAGTGCAGTATTGGGCATGCACTGGCTCCTAAATGTATCTGAACCTGCTCCAGTGTTGGTCAAGTCTGGTCTTGAAAGAGCTTGCACTTGGTGACATCACAACACACACTGGCAGGTTATTCCAAAAGATCAATTCTTACTTTGTTGTGCCTTTGATGACATTAGTGGACTATTTTTGTAGCCATCAGTTCCAAACCGAAGCAAGGTGGTGTAATGGCTAAAAGGAAGTGTTGTAGTTGTGGGATGGATGCGAAATTAGCAGTTACATGTCGTAAGAAAAGTGACGAGCATGTCTCTGATGAACCACTTTCACTGAAATGAGCGTGTGAGTGCGTGAGTAGGTAGCTTGTGCCACATCAACACACTGACCCCAAATGACCATAAGTACCTTAAGTAACTTATAAAGTTAAATAATTTCATAAAATAATGTGCAATCAAATGTTTAACAAATGTTTCTAAGGTGTATATAAATGTTAAAATATCTCAAATTAAACTTTGAGTGTTAATTTCAATGTGATGGTCCCAATTAGATCCCTTTCCTTTTAATTGTTATGGGAATTAATTTCCCTTTATAATTGGTTTTATTATCAGTGGCTTTTATCTGGTGCCTATTAACCACTTGTAACAAGGACCCCCTGTATTACAATCCTGTTACAGAATTTGAATCCAAACATCCAGTATTGTACCTTGAGTAATACTATTGAGCAGGAGCGTCCCAGCATAATACCGTATTGGCAGTCCTTTACAAGGTTGTTTTGTAGTATAGTTGCCGCATCATGGCATGCAAGTTCAATTCTAACTCCAGAAAATATTCCTGAATGTTGCTGATCGATAATCCGGTATGTCATATTAAGTTTTGACTACATGATTTGCTCATACAATATTCCACAATGAGTTTCTAGTATTTTTTACAAAATATAAATCTACATGAAAAAATTTTGTGAATTCACCATCATCCTTCTAGGAATGACATGATTACGTATACAGTCATGTAAATGGATTGGCATATATTTACAGTGCATATATACAGGTACTGTATTATCATGTCTTTGATATTCATGCAAAACACTATTATGTACTACGGATATTTAATGTATCAAGTACTGTATTCATGATACACAGCAGAACTGTGAATTAGGAGCAATCTATTTTAAGAAACCAAAACTCAGCTGTACTGTTAATTATAGAAAAAACTGATCTAATATTTTATCTTTTTGTAGTGTTGAGTCACCTGTAATTATTCTGATTGAGACCTTTTGAAACAGCAATTCTGACTTTTTTAACTGTGTCCACAGAACATGGATGTTGATGTCAATTACATTACCATATGCAGTACAGTACTTATTTTTGCTTGTTCTTTGACAGTGAGCAGTAGCACGTGTGTCTACATTATTGAGCAATAGTCAGTTACATATAATATGTGATTCACAAATGTTTAATGGTGTCAGTGTGTCCTCACTGTACTTGGGTTAAAGACAGTGGTCCCATTTTTGGTATACAGTAAACCCTTTATAACTCGGCATTTGATATTTCAGAATTCCATATAATTCAACACAGATATGGTCTTGGAATTTATTATATAATAACTCGGGAAATGGCAACTTATATAAAATTTTCTGGAAAAATCTCAGCTTATTTGGCTGCATGGGTAACTCTCGCAATGCTCGGTCAGCCTGGTGTTTGTTATTGTTGTAGTCGGGTGTGTGGTGGCTCACTCCACCCAGTACATGGGTATAACATATTACATATAACATACATTGCACCACAGTATTTAGGGCACCAGAATAATATTCAGCACCCTCTGGTAAAATTTGGTTCTTGCAGTAACCCATTGACACCCAACAACCTGCACCATTCATGTTAGCCCACCGTTTGCAGAACATCTCCGCTATTATAAAGTCCAATATCGTAGACTTTATTTAATCTATAGTTTAATTCATTTTATCCGAATTCCAACTACTGTACTGTACACACACATCCCCACAAACACATGCTATAAGAACAGCCCAGTCCCAACCATTATGAAAATTATCAGCAACTCATAATCAACCAGTGTATGTATCCGCCAATTTTATCTTTTTCCACTGTCACTATGTTGAAATGCCTGTGGTATAACCTTCTCCCCACTTAGTTATTATATATCACATTTGTATCACTGATGTCATTTGTCAATCAAGTGACCCATTCCTCAATTATGTAACTGTTTATTTTCAGCCTTCCGGCTGTCATGCCCTTTCAATAACCCATTAAATATTATTATTATAATTATTATTATTAAAATTCTTACAAATAAATAATAATGGGGAAATCCTCTTACAAATACCGTAATAAGAAACTTGACAACAAAATTGTTTTGTATAAAAAATGCGAGTTTTCCCTCAAGTCAACTACAGTACTTGCTTTGTTATAAAAGTTGAGTTGGTAGAGTTGCCATATGGGGCCAGTGCCAGCTGGGTTGATACGTAAATCAAACTTACAGAATTTCTTTTGTAGCCATCTAGCCAACCCAACATGAAGGATGTCGGTAATTGTGGTGTTATACTGTATACTTTTTCACAATATGTATGTAGGATGGTGTGTGCATGTAAATCAGTAAAAATAAATGAAGGTTACATATATCTACCCAAAAATTCGTGTTGAAAAAAACCATAACACCTCGAAGCTTGGCCCAGTAGCCTGGTGGTTACAATGATGAGCTAGCCTAACTGCAATGACATGATTAATCACTGTTAAGCACTATTCTATAAGTAAACACTATTAATAATAGTAAATCCAGTGAAATATGGCATGGAGCGAGGAGAGTTAAAACTGCAGACGGCTTGCTAACTAGCAGTCACTCACTCCTCTTACCCGCTCCCGTTGCCAGGCGTTGCTAGGCATACAGTACATATGGGAGATGGCAGGCATATCCAGGCATTTGTATGGGAGAAAAACATATTTTGTAGTCTACTATGAAAATGGTACGGGCTCAGTGATATATAAATCATTCATTTTCCTACGATAACATAATAAAAAACATTGTATCATTACTAGAGTAAATGAATTAATATTCCCACAAACAAAAAATTACAACTGTAATAAAGAAATGGATTAACACTCACCATTCCATGCTGGCTGTTTGTGTAGAGCCTGTTTTCCTCTCCCCTGCCACTGATGAATATCATGATGAAAATGATGAATGATGATGAAGGAAGAGGAGTTACAAGTTCTCCTCCTATGCTTCAGAAGAGAAGGCAGAGGAGAGTGGAGGGAGATCAGAGCTGGGAGCGGCAGGAGGCGGATCGTCCTGTCGGAATCAGTTAGGAGACGAACAGGAGGCTGAGGCCTTCTTGCAGGTGTAGAAGGACGAAGGCAAGAAGAACATGGAGATTGGAGGCTGAGCAACCTTGTGCTTGAGTTCCTTTAGTATTACCTAATAAGGAGTCAGGAGCTGCTCCATCCCTCTCTTAGAGTTGATTTCTCTCTCGATAGAGGGATTGACGTCAAAAACTATGTCCACGAGTGCCCTACTAGCCAGCAAGCACCTGTTGATGGTCGTGACGGTTAAGGCGGTTAGCCCCTCCACTTCACCTTCTTCCTCACCCACATCCTCACGGTGCTGCTCCTCGACAAGCTCGACCAGCTCTTCCTCAGTCAGCTCCTCCCCAGCATGACCCAAGAGCTCCTCTTACACCTCTTCCTCCTGAAGATTGTCGAACCCCTCACCTCCCACTTGACGGGCAAGTCGGACGATGTGCTGCACATCCTCATTGACTGTGGGGAAGCCAACAAAGTCATTTAGCACCTCTTGCCACAAGGCCCTCCAGCAGGAGTTAACACAGAGTACTGTCAGGTCATCATGGTACTGATGGATGAAGGAGATGCAGTCTGCAATGGAGAACTTCTTTTACATTTCCTGCACTGACGCAGCACCATCCTGTGTGGCCTCATCCAAGGCTTGCCGTATCCTGCTGAAGGTGTGGGTCATGTACTTGGTCTTGAAGACAGCAATGACTCCCTGGTCGAGTGGTTGGAGCAATAATGATTTTTGGGGGGCAGAAAGATCACCTCGACATTTTTGTTTGCAACCTTGAGTGCCTCGGGGTGGCCAGGTTAGTTATCGATCATGAGAAGGACCTTAAACTCTAGGTCTCTCCTGCAGGTAATCCTTAACCTCCCTCACAAAACAGTTGTGAAACCAGTCAGTGAATAATACTGCCATCATCCAGGCTTTCTTGTTGTGGCGGTAGAAAATTATGAGGAGGTGCATGTCTTTGTTCTTGGGTGCATGCGAACGCTTGGCAAATTATCCGGGCATACTCTTTCTTTAAAAAAATTTATAGAATAATAAGAGAATTAAACAGTAGGTACTCTACTGTATACAGTACAAAGAAAATCAAATATTAATGTTGTTTTTATTACAGGAATAGGAGATGCATCCCAGCTTCCAGCGTCTGTGATGGTGGGGACACGTGTGGCGACAACAGTGATGAACAGGACTGCAATCGGACTCTCGTCACTCTCCCACCGAGAACGGGAGCTCCTCTCTTGAACCTGTCAAGTACTAGAAGTTTGATAGGGACCACTCTCCTAAATGTTTCCACCATGGGAGGACATCAAACGACCGCACGAACTGATCGTATTTGGCTACTTCACCTTGGAGGCAGTAATGCCTCAAACATGGAAAATACACCCTCAGTAAATGCTTTTCCTTCTTCCTTTACCAATACTGAAGACCGTGGTAATGCATCTTTTGCTTTATATATAACAAAATCTTTGATAGAACAAAATCCATCTACATCTACCACGATGCCACAAATTTCTGGGATCTCCACTGATAACAATACATATAATGATAAAAGAGATCGGAAGTCTGAAGGCATCTTTAATGCTAATGATGCTTTATCACAGTCAGATAGTCATGGAAGAGTATCTCCTGTCATAGATAGAAGTTGGAGACGAACTGCCCAAGTTATGCCCAGTATGGAAGAGTTTGGAGACGCTTTTGGTCACAAGGTGAAGAAAGATCCAGTGACTGGCTAAACTAGCTACTCAGTACTCCATGAAACAAATGACAGGTTTAGTGCTTCAGACTGTGGAGTCAGCAATATGGAAATGCAGGGTAATAGAAGAACCTCACTTGGACTCGACATACATATTCCCACTGACCAAGAACGTGTCTAATTACCGTATCATGAATTAGAGTATTGCTCGGTAAAAAGTGCTTTGTATGTGTGTCTGTGAGAATGAGCAGAACCATTTTGTAATGGAAAATTTTTTTAAAAGTAAAGAAGGATGTATATTGAAATTCTCAAAGTTGGCTGCTATTTTAGTATATCAATGTTATGAGATGAAAAAAATATATTGCATCACAATGTTGATATATTGATGTTGTGAGAGGAGAGTCCTTTTTGTATATCTAGTTGAGAAATACCAAAGATTGTATGTATATTTTGTCCTTGTTAGGACCTCATGATGTTATCTAGTCTGTATGAAAATGTACTTATTATGTATTAGTTCAGTAGCCACTGGTAAGATCAATGCTGTACAAGTGAGTTAGAAAAGTTATCACGCTTAACTCACTTGCAGTGACCATGCCATGGAGACTATGGTTGGAATTTCTCAGCTTATTTTCAACAGTGTTTAGGGAATGTATTTACTGAATTGAGGAAAGTGCTATCGGATGTACCAAGTCCATACCCCAAAGTGGACTGTACTCTCCCCTACCATTCTGTACTCTGTGAATATGCTTGTTGTATCTTGCTCTCCATTACTAACCCACAAAGTAAGGGATTGTAGTCCTTTGCTCTTTGGTTATCTTATTCTTGGTTTCACAGTTTGTCATGAAAATCCGGCTACTAAAATTTATTGGACAATCGATTAACATTTGATGACTAAGGGATCTTCGGCTTTAAATTTCATGTAAAATATTTGTGCATTGATATTTGTTAGAAAAACATCCAGTTATGTTATTCATCGTTCTTGATGGCATCATAAAAATATGTACAGTATTACACATTACTTAAAGTGGAATGATACAGCTGTGTTCAGAAATATTAAAGCTCAAGAGAACATAACCTCAAGTGTGAAGTCCTGGTATCCGGATAGTAATGACTTAACTCAAGGACCACCAACCCAGGTTTGATGGGAGGAATGGTTCAGGACATTGTGCCTTCCTAGTACAGATAATGTACTGTAAAACTTCAGTTCCATAGTTTGCAAAAGGTCCTGCTATGAAAAGTGAGAGTTTTCCAAGTTACTGCTTTGGTATTTAGTTTTTGAAAATTGCAAATTGGGTTATAAGCCTTGTCTTGTAAATTTTAAGGCTCTCATATCTGGAGTCTTCAGTAATTAGTGACTAGGGCTTGGAGCTTCATCTATTTTATTTAAAATATTTTAGACTACAAGTCCAGCATAGTTCTGAGGATTTGTTATAAGTAATTATGCATGAGGCAGAAGATTATTACATTCCACCTCACATCTAAATTTATATACTGTACTGTATTGGGTGTTACTTGAACTGATGTCTCTTTTCCTTTTGGCTAATGTAATGTTTATTGTTACCAAGGCCACCATCTTCTTTCAAGTTTCTCTTTATGTTAATATAAATCCAACACCCATAAAATTATCACACAAATTACATTCTGTAAAATGAGTCTCTGCCTCTGTTGCACAGCTCAGCCTTGCTACTAGTCTCAGAGGGTTGTATATATATATATATATATATATATATATATATATATATATATATATATATATATATATATATATATATATATATATATATATATATATATATATATATATATATATATATATATATAAACCTTAAAACTTTTAAAATTTATAACCAAATGATGAATTACAGTACACACACTTTTTTTTTGTCTCCGCACATGAGTAGTCCAGAGAGTTGCGCCATATTCATCAATTAACTGCCTGGGCTATACTAATTTCTCCGTTATATATAATTTGAATTTGCATTTATGTTCATGCCAAATAGTTTCATGTTTGAACAATATTTTCTGCAAATTACAGGTAAACCTCTGTTTATGCTATCCCAATCCATGATAATTCACATTAATGATGATGATATATTAAGACCACTTCTCTATTTACGATATAAATAAACTCGCATTAACGATATTCGTCATCCCACCAACTCACCAAGTCAGTATATGGAATGCATCACTCACTTCATTTGTCAGCTGAGGCGTCATCGACCTGAACACTGAGCACTGCCTCATGGTCATCTGGTGAACTACAGTCCAGGCATCATTTCTTATTGGTTAGATGTGTGTAAGAAATGGAGTTTAATGTTAATGAGTCATCATCAGTGTTGTTTTTTTACCTTACAGTGAGAGGACATCACTGAAGTTTGCATTATACTCTATTTTGGTGACTGTGAAGTTCTTTCGCTCTGACTATGAAGTGTTTTCGCTCTAATCGCCCACCCCGACAGTGGATGACCTGACATTACATCAGAAGGTCAGTAATATGAGACCACTAATCCCTCCACTGCAAATGAAGGAAAGAGTTTTTGTGCAATGAGTAGACCTTAGGGGTGGCAACGCCTCCAGACGTAAAAAATGATTACAGTTCCATATTACATCCAGGAGATTGGATAGTATACTCATACTGTTGGCTCAAGATGAAGATACTGTATTGATATATATATTTATTGTTTATATAAAATACATTGTACATGTACAGTGGTGTTTGTGCAAATAAATACAGCTCTTGTGTCTATCCATGTGAGATGCGTAGCTTAGACTCAGTAGGGGCAGATCCAGAAGAGGGGTGGGGGGGGGGGGGCCTGGACTCCTCCCTTTCATCAGAAAATTCTTCTTCTTTTTTCTTTAATGCTGTATTGTACTGAGGCATTTTTGTATAGCAAAAATTAAGTACTATTTACCTCAGAATATCTCCTAATATCAAGTGCTTACAGCGCCCCCTTCCTAAAGCCTTCCACCTGTTTAGGCTTGCTGTGCTTGCCATGTTCCCCCACTCCAACTTCATGGACCCCCCCCCCTTTTTGATATTCCTGGATCTGCCCCTGTTCGGGAAAGCAGTGGGGAATTCCAGTGTGATACACACAAGGCATCTCGCACACCCATATATAGATTTTTAGCTTTTTAAATATATTCAAACTTAATTAGAACTGATTTTATAGACCGGAAAAGTCTGATAGAGATTTAATCAGGATTATTATGGTATCAAGGTCATCTCTCTATCAAAATTAGCAGATGCTCGAGTATAGGAGGTAGTGGAGTGAGGTAGGAAGGCAAGGGACCTGGGGGGGTGGTGACTTAAAGAGGTTCGTTCGATTTTTACCCAGTGCGTATCACTGACTCCTCTCTTGCTCATTCTATTATAACTCCTTCATGATACAATATTATTTGTTATTCATCAATTAGTAAAGATACATTACTCTAATAATTTTTACCCTTCATTTACAATACTGTATTGTATATATCTCATGGTACCAAATTCATTTCTCTAAAACAAATAGAGCAAATGTTGTGAATAAAATTTTATGAACTTTTTTGCTAGCCATAAATATATTTGCTACTTAACTTTCAAATATATTCAAGACATCTTCAGGTCATGAGACTCACTAATCCCCTGCCTTGACACTGGGTGATCTGACATTGCATGAGGCCACCCCATCCCCTCTCCAGCTGACAATGATTAGATCAAGTACGTAACATGAGACCCACTATTCCCCTACCACACTTTCATCGCAACATTTCTTAAATATTTTTATAAAAGAATCGAGTCCCCATCATTATCATCTTTTTTTTTGTGACTGTGAAGAGAACAGTGTAATTTTGAAATTGTCTGGCAATCATTTTGCTCACCATCTTTAAGGTCAAAACAAAAGCTACACATCCAGTCCCCACTCATCAGACTCCCCAAAGTCTGTGTGTGATTCAGGTTGATGTCTCCTCTCCACCTTAGAGTTTTCTTAGCCTTGAAGGGACATGTGATGATGACTAGACTTTTTCTTAATGATGTGGTGAGTGTTGTTTGTGTTATAGTGCTAGTAGTATTCTAGGATTTTTTTTTTGGTGATACATATGGGTGTCCGACTGGCCAGGAACCTATCCCATTGAACCCCATGTTATAGTGAATTTTATTTACAATACAGCATTTTGATTTGTGATTGGGTTTCCAGGAACCTAACCCCATTATAAATAGAGGTTTACCTGTATTGAGGTTTTGCTGCACATAATTAACTATTTCACTGCCAAATTTAAATGTTACATAGAAAATATATTGAACATATTAGGCCAGTGAAGATCACTTCATATGCACAACAGAACTAGATTACATTGTAAATTTGTTCTTGAATATTTCATTGCACTTAGTATTGATTTTTAAAGGTATTGCACCCTTTTGAAGTTTAAGATTATGATTACTTTCATAAACATGTATTTTAAAATTTCTGGCCAACTGATACCATGGTGTGGATGTTACTGATATTGCTGCAATATACAACTAGCACATTTAAAGAAAACTGAAAATGCCTTTATATGGTTCTACTTGTTGAATGGAAAGCATTCACTAGTCCATACAATATTTTTGCATAGTTAGATAACAAAACTCTTTTTGTGTATAATATATATATATATATATATATATATATATATATATATATATATATATATATATATATATATATATATATATATATATATATATATATATATATATATATATATATATATATATATTAAATATAACATTAATGGATTTCATAGTTTTGTTTATCAACACTACACATGCCTGCTTTACCAGCTGTCAAAATTTGGTCTAAGCTCAAGAAGGACTTCAGAAACTTGTCTATGAAGCTTAAACATTGACATTTTATCATTTGCCTGTTAACCATTACATAAGTCATTGGTTATTTGCTTGACCTCTTTAGTCCACTTGTAAATATAGCTGCATAGTATAACAAACATATTGTATTTTTAAGCTTATGTGATATATTTATGTTGTACTACATTTTGAAGTATAAAAATTTTGTAATAAACACAATCTGATAATAAGTATTTTCATAGCCAAATGATACCATTTTGTTAACGTGATGTTGGATCACACTAGGATGGAGGTGAGAAAGGAAACTCAGCTATGGCATTTTCTATATAATAATGTATATAATATGTACAATGCAGTGCCAGGGAGTTGCTGTGTGGTGAGAAGCTTGTTGAAAGGAGGTCTTATTGGTTTGAGTGCTCTCAGTAGAATTCCTTCACGGCGAGGCTGTGAGCTTATATACATGTCCGCCGGAAGTAGGCTTCGCTGGTGGCCGACCCCGCGCAGTGAGACACTAGGCTTGTCAGAGAAACTTGCCACGGGATCGGCTAATCAGCGACTAACAGCAGTGGCAGTTGTAGGGGAGAGTATTCACTACAATGCCATAATAAAAGACGAAAGTGATGAAGGATGGGGTGAAAAAAGTACAATAAAGTGTACTCTCAATTCAACAGAATCGGATATTATGAACTCTCGATTTAGCGGAAGGAATTTTTTCTGTTATTGTTCATTCGATATAGTGAATTAGTTCGATTAAGCGAGATTAATTCTGTTAATAAGCTCACACCTACGGAGACACCTCAGACACATGATATACACACAGAAACATTAAGTGTTACTGCCATAGTAGGATAAACTAGAAGAGAGAGAGAGAGAAAGGGAGACAGGAGAGAGAGACAGTGAGTGTTTACAACGAACTTTGCTGAGGTGTTTAATGTGAAACAGATGGCCCTCGCCTCAGGGACTAACTCGCTCGCTCCCTGTGGGGTTCAGAAGATAGTCTCTAGCCATCCAGTGAGCTAACAAGTTGGGGAGCTAATAAGTCCTACATTAGACCCAAAACACGTAAGTTTTTATATGGTTTAACACCCCACTTTACTCAAATATATCATATATAGTTGTTAATAGTGAAGGAATGTACGAGTGAATTAATTATCTCGTATGTTACATATGTAATCTGTACTCTGCAGGTTTTGACCGAATAAAGAACAATCGAGTCCTACATGCAAGGGTCTCATTATCCCACAGTCGCTCATCGGGCGGTTACAGTCAAAACGTGGGTCCTTCAGTCTGCCGATACACACTACTGAGAGCTGGCGAGTGACTCGACCGTCGAAGGACCTTCAGCGGGGCCCTTCCCTCCGGCACCCGACACACCCCACAGCTATGCAGCAGGAGAACGTGGATGCCTTTGTGTGAATTTGTGAATCATCGACTAAAGTGTGATGCCTATAATATAATAATAGTTAACCCCGCAGAAAGGGGGTTGTGGGTTTGAGTGTGTGTATAGCACTCGTATGTGTACGAAGAGAAGCGTGACGCCTCTGTATGTGGGTCAAGTGTCAGAAAGGACATGTCTCGGTGCCAAAATTGTTTGTACAGGGGCACGAGGGAGTGTTATCATTCATTCCGGACACGCACGCAGCCTGCCGCGAGGACCGCGTGTCAGGAGAGAGTGGACTCGGTGTCAATAACATTCGTGCGTACACGCGAGAGAGATAGTGTTCAAAGCATACAGCCAGACTGGGTCACCAATTGTAAATAAAATTTAAGAATGAGTGAGTTGCCCTTTCTATTAGAAAAGAGTAGTTGTGACAGTTAAGTAACGTTGTGAGTAAGGGTGCAGTAGTGTTTGTGGCATCAGTTTTATGATCTTAACAGTTGTGTAATGAATCCCTACACTGATTGTGGTGCCTCTGTTGTCGTCTTAGTAATAATAATAATAATAATAATAATTATTAACGGTTTATTGAAAAAGTTCTGCAGCCCGAAGGCTGAAAATATACATACATGCATTGACATTAGTGGTTTAACAAAAGCCTTCATTAAAGAAAGGTAAAGGAACTTACAGTGAACATACAGATTAATGTTTACAGTGGAGGTCACGTAGATCTTGTGCGCTGAGGTGTTGAACAGCATACACGTAGTGTAGTAACTCCCTCACTCGTGCTTATTGCATGTGTTGATATTAATTCAGTTGTATGACATCGCTTATATGACTTCAGTTTATGACATCACTTATATGACTTCAGTTATATGACATCGCTTATATGACTTCAGTTATATGACATCGCTTATATGACTTCAGTTGTTTGACATCGCTTGTATAACTTCAGTTCACCGCTTGTATGACATCGCTTGTATGGCCTCAGTTATATGACATCGTTATAAATGAGCAGACGTGTCAGTTGAAGAACATTCCTGCTTAACCGAACGTCTCTATAGCTTCCACCGAAAGAGCCAAATCGAGTTCACTGTGCCACAAGTCATGGAAGTGAACAAGACAGAGGAGATAAGCCTAGCCAGCGTAGAAGACCCGGAGGCCTTGAACGATGGAGATGCTAACCGGTCACTCACACAGCCAGGGCGAAGTGGAGAAACCCCTTCACCCGAGAGAAGGATGAAACCAACAGGCCGCATGAATAGGGTAATCGGGGGTTATCAGCAGACGCTCACCCAATTGACGGCAATGATTATGACATATGACTAGCAGATCCAGGCAGAGTTGCATTCCCCATATTAAAGGTCAAGGTCGGGGAGATAAGGCGAGAAACGAATACAACAGTGATCACCGGAGTACTCAGGACTCGGGCAGCAACAGGTCTTACTGCACCGAGAGCCTAGCCAACCGACTACAAATAACAGGGAAGTCTGTTTCAATCTCCATAGGCACGATTCTGATGGAGACGAAGAGCATGAAGGCCAAAGAGATCGAACTGAAGGTGACTAGCGTCAGAGTGAAAAGAAGCCGATCCATCAACATTCCCAGAATCCTCATTATTAAAGACCTGCCTTCTTCACTGGAAGCATCGGTTGCAGACACCAGAGCTGTTGCCAAATGGAGGCACCTCCAATGAACCACACCACTCCACCCACCGGAAAGAGTGGATCTCCTGATAGTTAGATGTACCACAAGCCCTAATACCGTTAGAAGTAAGGACCGGGTAGACCGGAGAGCCATTCGCGGTGCGCACACTTCTAGGATGGACCGATTGGACCTGCAATAAGTAACCACCTAGCAATCAACCACTTCATCTCAGAAAAACTGCTGAGCCTGGAGACACATTTAGAGAAACAGGTCAGACACTTCTGGGAATGTGACTCGGCTTCAGTGACGAGGGTGGACGGGCATTATCAACTTCCCATACCGTTCCTTCATGAAGAGCCGGGACTCCTGAATAACAGGAAACTAGCTGAGCAACGGTTAGCGAGCTTGAAGAAACGTCTCCTGAAAGACCCAGACCTCCGCCAAAGATATCGAGAAGAGATGCAAAACCTGATCAACAAGGGACATGCTGAGAGAGTCCCACACCGTGAGCTTACCATTGTGCCGGGGAAAACCTGCTATCTCCCACATCACCCAGTATTGAACCAAAATAAGCCCGGGAAGTTGAGAATAGTTTTTGACTGTGCAGCAACATATGAGTCAGTGTCTCTGAACAGCCAAGTAATGCAAGGGACAGACCTCAACAACAAATTGATGGGAGTCCTCATTAGGTTCTGACAAGAAGGGGTGGCACTCATGGCTGATATCGAAGCTATGTTCCACCAGGTACGAGTACTGCTTGAGCATCGAGACGCCCTGCACTTCCTGTGCTGGACCAACTATCAGGAGACCCCGGTCAGTTACCGGATGAAGATACATCTCTTCGGGGAGTGTGGAGCCCATCATGTGCCGGATATGCACTACGACGAACATTCCAAGACCAAGGGCAAAGGCTCCATGAAGAAATTAAGAAAGCAAGTTGCAACTTCTATGTCGATGATCTGCTTCTTTCAGTAGCATCACCTGGGAAGGCGGCGATAGTCACTCACCGACTTAGGCAGTTGATGAAGAAAGGTGGGTTCAGACTTACAAAATGGATCTGCAACCACAAAGGGGTCCTCAGAGCAGTCCCACAAATGGAAAGAGCCATGGAAGTGAAAGAAGTGCTTTTGAAGGATGACAGGCTCCCAGCTGAGCGAGCATTGGGAATCATGTGGGATATAGAGAATGACGAACTTGCAGTCTGAATCCAGATCCCAACAAAGCTACAAATGAAGCAGGGCCTCCCGAGTATGGTCAGCTCCATACATGACCCATTAGGAATCATTGCTCCGAGCACCATACGAGCCAAAATCATATTCCAGGACGAGTGCAGGAGAGGCATCGGGTGGGATGAGTAAATGACCAAACACAACAGAGCCGCTTGGCTGCAGTGGCTAAATGAACTTCCCCACTTGTCTCAAGTACGCTTCCCTTGATGTTACCTGCCTGAATGCACAAATCCAATAACTATGGTACAACTGCACCACTTCTGTGACGCCTCCCAGCAAGCATACAGAGCTGTATCTTACCTCAGGATTACAAGTGAGACGGAGCCCACTCTACCTCTTTTGTGTGTGGCAGAGCCAAGCTAGCTCTTCTGAAACAGCAAACTGTACCTCGGCTCGAGCTATGTGCGACAGTGTTGGCGGCCAAAGCAGACAGACAACTGAGAGAAGAACTAGAGTTGCAGATTGACAGATCAGTGTTCTGGACAGACCGCATGGTCACCCTTCACTACATACAAAACACTGAATGGCGCTTCCATACCTCTGTGGCAAACTGAATTGCAATGATTCATGAGAATTTTGACGAAGATCAATGGCGACACTTGAGCTCCAACCAAAACCCGGCTGATGATGCCAGCATGGGGCAGAATTGGGAGAAAACAATTGGTCAAAGAACCCAAAACCGATTCCTAACCTTGCAGATGGAGACCTGGAGGTAAAAGGAGATGCAACAGTACTGGCAACGAGTACTGACCAGGGGGAATGTACCCAAAAAGGGTGAGGGCAAGGTACTCATCATGGCATCAGCTTCCTGGTAGTCCCATATGGCCTCTGGCCCTGGTAGGCCCAGGGGGTACATTTTATTCCCATGGGGCCCCTGGGCCAGGAAGTCGCATGGGACCCTTGGCCCTGGTAGGTTCCTAAGGTCGCATGGTAGTCGTCTGGGGGGCCCCTGGTATTCCCAGGGGCTCCTGGCCCTGGTAGGGCCCATGGGGGCACCTTGGTAGTCACATGGGGTCCTTGGCCCTTGTAGACTCCTGGGGGTCCCTGGAGCGCTCTGGTAGTCCCACGGGGCTCTTGGCCCTAGTAAGTCCTATGGGGGCCCCATGGTAGTCACATGGGGCCCTTGGCTCTGGTAGGCCTCTAGGGGTCGCTGGTAGTCACTTGAGGTCTCTAGCACTCGTAGGGCCCCTGTGGACCATGTGATAGTGCCAAGAGGCCTCTGGCCCTGTCAGGCCCCTCAGGGCACCCTGGTAGTTTCATGGAGTTCCTGGCCCTGGTAGTCCCATGGGTCCCCTGGATCCGATGGGGCTCCTAGGGCCCCATGGTAGTCACATGGCACCTCTGGCCCAAGGAGGGCCCCTTGAGGCCCTTTGAAGTCATATGGGGCCCGTGGCCCTGTTAGAGCACTGGGAGTCCTGGTTGTTACATGGGGACCCTAGCCCTGGTAGGCTCTTTTGGGTTCTTTTGCCGTGGTAAACCCCTGTGGACCTCCTGGTTGTCCCATTGGGCCCCTGGCCCTTGTAGGCCTCTGGGGACCACCTGGTAGTCCCACAGGACCCGGGCCTCGGTAGCACCACTGGGGCCCTCCTGGTAGTCCCATGAGGTACCTGGCCCTGGTAGTTTAATGGGACCTCTTGCCCTGGTAGGCCCCTGGGGCCCCCTGGTAGTCCCTTGGGCCCCCTGGCCGCGATAGGATCCCTGGTTGCCCATGGTAGACCCATGGGGCCTCTTGCCCAGGTAGGGACCCTGGAAGCCCCTGGTCCTGGTAGGGCTCTGGGGGCCCCTGGTTGTTACATGGGGCCTCTAGACCTGTGAGGCCCCAGGGGACCACCTGGTAGTCCCATGGGTACTCCGGCGTTGGTAGGGCCCTTGTGGGCCACGTGGTAGTCTCATGGGGCCTTTGGCCCTGGTAGGCCTTTGGTGGCCACCCTGGGTAGACACATGAGGCCCATGGCCCTGGTAGTCCCATGTGGTCCCTGGCCCTAGTAAGACTCCTCGGGGTGCCCTAGTAGTCCCATGGGGCCCCTGGCTATGGTAGGTGTCTGGGAGTTTCTGTTAGTACCATGGTTCCCCTAGCCCTGGTAGGGTCTCTGTGGGCCCCTGGTAGTCCCATGCTGCCCCTGGCCATGGTGTGCCTTTCGGGGCCCCCTGGTAGTTCCATTGGGCTCATGTTCATGGTAGGCCCCTTGGGAGTCTCTTTTAGTGTCATGGGGCTCATAGCCAAGCTAGGGCCCCAGGAGGCCTCTTAAGTCATATGGGCCCCCTGGTAGTCCCATGAGGCCGCTGGCCCATGTCGGCTCCTGGGTGTTCTCTGGTAGTCCCATAGAGCCCATGGCACTGGTGGAGCTCCTGTGGGCCAGGTGGTAGTCCCCTGGGCCTTTGGCACTGTTAGACCCCTGAGGATAGCCTCAGGGGCCCTCCTTAGGGGTGGCGGGCCCCCCAGGACCTTCTTACGGGGAACGGCGCCCCTAGGGTCCCTTCCAAGGGCGGCGGTGCCCCTAGGGACCTTCCCAGGGGCAGCTGCGCCCCCAAAGACACTTCTCCCAAGGGCAGTGGCGACCCCAGAGCCCCTTCTAGGATCAGCGGGCCCTACAAGAGGTGGTGGCGACCCCAGGGGCCCTCGCAGGGGCGGCGGCGATCCTAGAGACCCTGGTTGACTTAGGGGTCCCTGGTTCTGGTAGGATCTCTGGGGGCCCCCTGGTAGTCCCCTGGCCCTGGTAGGGGTCTGGGCGCTCCCCGAAAGTTCCAAGAGGCCCCTGGGGACTCTTTGGTAGGCTCATGATGCCCCTGACCCTGGTACTTCTACATGGCCCTTGGCCCTGGTAGGGCCCCTCTAGGCCTCCTGGTAGTCTCATGGTGCCCCTGGCTCTGGAAGGCACCTGAGGGCCCCATGGTAATCTCATGTGACCTTTGGCTCTGGTAGGCCCCTGGAGGTCCCTGGTAGTCCCGTGGGACCTCTGGCATTGGTAGGGCCCCTGTGAGCCATGTGGTAGTCCCATGGGGCGTTTAGCCCTGGTAGGCCTTTGAGGGTACCCTGGTAGACCCATGGGGCCCCTGTCCCTGGTAGCCCCATGTGGTCCCTGGCCCTGGTAACGCTCCTCGGGGCGCTCTAGGAGTCCCATGGGGTCCCTGTCCCTGGTAAGCCCCTGGAAGTCTCTGGTAGTACCATGGTTCCCATAGCCCTGGTAGGGTTTCAGTGGACCCCCTGGTAGTCCCATGGGGCCCTTCTCCCTGGTAGTCCATTGCGGCCCTTCGCCCTGGTGTGCCTATCAGGGCTTCCTGGTAGTCGCATACGGCCTCTGGCCTTGGTAGGCCCGGGGGGTCCATTTTATTCCCATGGGGCCCCTGGGCCTGGAAGTCATGTGGGACCCTTGGCCCTGGTAGGTTCCTAAGGGCGCTGGTAGTCGTCTGGGGGGCCCCCTGGTATTCCCAGGGGCTCCTGGCCCTGGTAGGGCCCATGGGGGCACCTTGGTAGTCACATGGGGTCCTTGGCCTTGTTGCCCCGAGGAGGGCCCATTGGGCACATCATCGCCCTAGGAGGGCTCCTTAGGGCTCCACCACCCCTGGAAAGACTATTGGGTGCACCCCCGCTGTTGGCAGGGCTCTCTTAGGGCGCTGCAGCCTCTTTGAGGGCCCGTGCCGACCATGGGAGGGCCCCTAGGGACGGCACCACCCGTGGCTGGACCTCTAGGGGCACCACGCTAGGGTCACCACCGCCCATGGAAAAGCTTCTGGGGGTGCCATCGCCCGGGGCAGGGCCCAAAGGGTTGCCGCCAAGCCTAAAGAGGGCTCCTGGGGGCGTCGCCCTAACTGGGAGGGCCCCGTAGGAACGCCGACTCCCCTGAAAGGTCCCCTAAGGGTCTCTGCCACCCATAAGAAGGGCCCCAGGGGCGTCGCCGCTTCTAGGTTGTCCCCTTATGAACGCCACCGCCCTGTCAGGTCCACTAGGGGCGCCTCTGCATCTGGGATGGCCTCTGAAGAGCTGCCGCCCTTGGGAGAGCCTCTAAGAGTGCCCCTGGGAGCGCCGCCTTCCCTGATGTGATTTGGGGGCGCCACAACCCATGGAAAGGGCCCTGTGGGTGCCACAGCCCCTGGCAGGGACCCTCCAGGCATCGCTGCATTAAGAGGGCCCCCGGGAGCTCTGATGCACCTGGGAGGGCTCCGGGTTAAGCCACCACCCCTGGGAGGGCCCCTTGGGGTGTGGTCGCCCTTAGGAAGGCCCCTTGGAGAGACACCGCCTCTGGCAGGGTCCCAGGTGGCGCCGCCGCCCTTGGGAGAGACCCGGGGGTGCAGTTGTTTCTGCATTATTTAGAACACTAGGAGATATGACGTTAAATAAGGATACTGCCCATCGCATTTCCGGTAGCATTGCATCCAGAAAAATGAAACTGAGAATAAATATCGAACAGGAAATCATAAGTTGGGGTTTTGTGCTGACTGATTGCTCTGTTTTCCTATTGGCTGTAATTTGGTGGATTATCCTTTTAGTCCTCCAATCACAGTTAAGTAAGGGAATGCTGGATGCATGCAATATGTACGATACCACGATCAAGTCCCTGGGGCGCCGCTGTCGCTGGGAGGGCCGCTGGGGGCGCCACAGCCCTTATGAGGGCTCCTGGGGACGCCAACGCCTCTGGAAAGGCTACTGGGTGTGCCATCATCCCTGGAAATGCCTGGGGGCGCCGCCGCACTATTTAGAACTCTGGGAGATATGACATTAAATACGATGGGCGGTGTGCCCATCGCATTTCCAGTATCATCTCATCCTGAAAAATGAAACTGAGAATAAATATCCAACAGGAAATCATAAGTTGGGGTGTTGTGATGAAAGACTGCTCTGTTCTCCTATTGGCTGTAATTTGATGGGTTTACATTTCAGTCCTCCAATCACAGTTAAGTATGATCCACGATCAAGCCCCTGGGGGAGCCGCTGCTCTGGGAGGGCTGCTGGGGGCGCTGACACCCTTAGGATGGACGCTAGGGACGCCAATGCCCCTGGAAAGGCTACTGGGGGCACCGTCGTCCTTAGAAATACCCCTGGGGGCACCGTCGTATTTAGAAATACCCTTGGGGGCGCCGCCGCTCTTTTGAAGGCCCCTGGGGTCGCCACCACCCCGGGAGCACAGCCGCTCCTGAGCTTGCACGTTGCCGCCCCTGGGAGGTTCCCTGAGGGCAATGCCACCTCTAAGGAAGGTTCCCTGGGGGCACTTCGGCCCCGGGGAGTGTCCATGGGCACACCGTCGCCCTAGCAGGGCCCCTACGGACGCCACCACCAGTGGAAAGACCATTGGGGGCATCCCCGCTCTTGGCAGGGCCTTCTTAGGGCGCTGCATCCTCTTGAAGGTCCCTCGCCGACCCTGGAAGGGACCCTGGGGACGGCGCCGTCCGTGGGTGGCCCTCCGGGAGCGCCGCCAACCCTGGGAGGGCCCCCAGGGGCGCCGCCGTCTTTGGGTGGTGGGTGTGGGTAGCGTACTTCTGGGACCATGCACCTAGTGTATGTTGTCATTATCACGGCCTACTAACTGATTTTGCTAACACACTCACTCACACACCAGCATCCGTACGTGCGTGTCCCACCTCACACACACACACACACACACACACACAACGTTAATAAATATTGATTCGACATACAACTACAGTGGTGTTGTCAGTGTTGATGAGGGTGGGAATTGGGGACATTGGGTATAGTGAATGATGAGTGTACAAGCAGGAGGCCGTAGTGTACGAAGCAGCCCACCAGGCGACACACACACACACACGCCATAAACTACACTCTCTTCATCTATAAAAAAAAATAATATCACATTTGAACATATCAGTATTATTCTGGCGAGGTAATTAAGACGTTTACTCTCACTATCATGCACTGTACGCAGATTTTGGTTCATGATATTCGTTCTGCTTTCTCACCTTTCCAGATGATGGGGGTGGATCAGAGAACTTCCCACTATGAAGCTTTGACGACCTGTTTCCTGCCTCAAAGTGGGTCTATAAAACGTAGCTACCTGAGCATAACCTGTGATGAAGGAGACAGCAAGAGTCGCCCCACCTAACTCACTGCTCTCATGGTTCACGATATTTATGTGTGGTGCATTGTTTGCTGAACTGAGAGTGAAGACATTTTTGTAAAATTCATTAATGTTGATGAGAAACCAGTTATATATTTTTACTTTTTACTATAAGAGATACCTGTATAAGGTGTGTGTGTGTGTGTGTGTGTGTAAGTAGTTTTCTGAATTAACTGGTTCCAAATTTCCAGGTTTTAAAGGTTTGAGAACCACTGTCTAAGACTACTGTATGGTTGAAGCCACATGGTGTATGGTAGTGTAGACTACTGTGTGTTCGAGACCACATGGTGTATGGTAGTGTAAATTACTGTGTGTTTGAGGCTACATTGAGGTAACATTGTTTATGCTTGTGTTGGTTACTGTGTGAGTTAACATGGTTGGTGTGTGGTGCAGTATGTGTATGGTAGTATAGGCTACTGTGTAGTCGTGGTTACATAGTGTATTGTAACGGATGTTTGGTGTATGGTTTTACATGTATGGACTATAGTAGTAGATGGTGTATGGTAATTTATGTTAATTAATGGTTGGGACTAAAGGGATGTATGATAAAATAGGTTAATGTGTGGATTAAGCTAAAAGGTGTATGGTAGTATATATAAGGTAGTGCATGTTAATATATAGTTGATGTTACATGGTGCACGGAAGTGAATGTTACAGTACGGTTGATGCTATTAGGTGTATGGTAGTGTATGTTATTGTATGATCAAAGCTATAAAGTGTATGGTAGATGGTGTTTGGTAGTGTAGTTACTGTATGATTGAAGCTATAAAGTGTATGGTAAACATGTGGTGTGTATGGCAGCAGTAGTGGGGTTTGGCCTCCTTGGTGGCGTGTGGGTGGGTTGCCACGGTTTCACTGCCGGGAGAGAACTCTTCACAAACTTTCTGACCATTACTCA